ACACACACACACACACACACACACACACACACACACACACACACACACAATCAGTTTTATGTCTGTTGGTCCTTCTTCTGTTGTATGTCCTCCCCATGATTTTTCCTAAGTCTTTTTGTGTGTCCAACTGAGCACCCTTAAGTAGTGCCAAACAGTCGGTGGTTCCTCATTTGGAGTGCCTACTGCACTCTTATGGGGGCTGCTCGGTTCGGGATGTCTGTGTTGCCTGTCGGTGATGACGGATGTTCGTCGGAGTGACTCCCTGGCTCAGTGGGTGGTGGGAACCAACAGTCTGCGGGGTTCTATCGTAATGTGAGTAGGTCATGTGCTGCTTTGCTCCGTGTTGGATGTGTGGACGTCCTCGTCTGCGCTCCGCCGCCGCCCTGCTGCCTGTCCCGCTTGCTTCGCGTGTGGTTCTTTGCGGGTTGATGTGTTTGCTGTGCGGTGTGGCAGTGTTGTTGGTGTTGCCCTGCGCTTCGTTGCTCCGCTGCCGTGTTGCTCATCCATTGGCCGTGCCTTCTGTGCTTGTGTGTCATGTTGGTTGGTTGCCTTGTTGCTGGTGCCTTGTGCTCCGCTCCATGGTCGCCCAGCTGCTGGTTCACTTGCTCTGTCGTCCCCTGCAGTGTTGTTGCCTTGCTTGTGTTGCCTTGTGATTCACTACACGGCTGCCGTGCTGCGTGCCATATCGTTCCTTGCAGTCGTTTTTGGCGTTGTGCAGCCGTGTTGTCTCTACTGTGTTGTCTGGTGCTTCACAAGGTTGTTGTCCGCTGCTATGTTCTTCTTGGGGACAGTCTGCCTTCAACAAGGGTCAAAGGGTTCACGACCCAAACCATCAAATACGGGGATTCCGCAGATTGTCGAGGGTTCAGCCTCCTGATGAGTCGGTGCAACTCCGACGAAACAATCTTGTTATCATCAATTTTTATTTTTTTCAGTTCTGGTTTGAAACTTGATTCTTTTTTTGCTTGTTGTTCTTTTGTGGTGTTACTTTTTGGCTTTGAGTTGTTTGTATGCCCACCCGCCTCCCCCATACCCTCCAGCCTGTGTCTCCACTATCTTCCATGCCTTGTTGTTTTTTGTTGCTTGTTTGCCCGCCCACCTCCCAATACCCACCACCCTATGCGTTTTTTTCCGTTGTTTTTCGTGGCTTGATGTCTTGTGGTGTGCCTGCCCGTCCGGCTCCCCATACCCTCCAGCCTTCGCCTTTTGCTTCGCTGCTTTCGTGCTTTGCTGCTGTGTTGTTTGTTTGACCGCTCGTCTCCCTCATGCCCTCCAGCCTTTGTCCCTTGCTGCCCAATGCTTGTCTGATGCCTTGGTGGTTTTAGCCCTTTGCTGTACTGTCTTTCGTGCATTGCTACCTTTTGGCATGTTGCCCTTTGGCTCGCTGCTATTTGAGTGGGGCTTTAGGTTTGTGGTCTGTTGCTTTTATGGCCTTTGCATGACTTTTGTGCGTTCGTCTCATAGGCATACTAGGTTACGGGCTCATATCCAAGGGTTGTCGTACCCATGCTCTTCGACGCAACATGCCGTGACACGGTCGCGACAGTATTGTATCGCAATAGAACACATACACACGTGCACACACGCACACACACATTCTCCTGTATATTGGTGGGCAACGACACCTGCTGGAAACTGGGTCCATCATCCCATGAAAATTGTGAATAAAGCACCAATCGGGACCCCCCCCCCCCACACTCTTCGAGTTGTGTATAGCGAACATGACAAAACATACACACAGCACAATCACTACCTTACCCTTCCCCAACCACATCAACAAACAAACTGCGGGTTGTGCACCTGTGCCATCACGGTAAGTCAATTGGTACACCCATCATCTGTCTGAATACAGACCGAAGCTCAAATCCAGACGCAATTACCTGGAGCTTGTCGGTTCAATGATGATATCTCAAGGCCCTATAACACAATTGTCGACCGCGTGGGCACAGGGAACGCAGCCCTAAGGTAGCCAAAGCAATGGGATTAGCGTGCGCACGAGCGCGCGCGCGCACGAGAGAGAGAGAGAGAGAGAGAGAGAGAGAGAGAGAGAGAGAGAGAGAGAGAGAGAGAGAGGCTGAATGGCAAACCTGGAATATGGATCAAATTGCGGCCGCGATCTATTTCGTAGTTGAAATAATGTTTTTCTATTAATTCAATATTTTTCCTGGAAAGATCACAGCAAGATCGACAAGTACTCGAATTGTCAGGTTCTTTCACGCATTCTTTTGAGCGTGAGAAATCACTGAATTTTGAGTATTTTTTTCATTTCGCCCGATGGCAAAAATAAAAAATGTGCCTAATGGGTGCGAAGATTATTTCACGGTCTAAATGAATTTTTTTTTAACTTTCTGAAAATTTTCCTCGAAGGAACACGACGTAATCTATAGACTCTCAAATTTCAGATTTTTTTGCAGATTCCTCCGAGCACAGAAAATCGTAAAAGTTATCTTTTGCAAAACACTTGTTCCGTTGCGCTTGACCTCCCTGTTTTCAGAAGACGGGCCTCAGCCCTTGGGCCTGAGGGCCCTCTTGCAGTTCACATGCAAGGGAGGACCAGTCCACTAATTTTACTACCGCACCGGTTCTATTCGCGATAGTTGTAGGTAGTCCGTAAAAACGCGGTGGACCAATCCCCAAACAACTTTCACCCCGTTAGAACCCACTTGTGCGCCAGTCACCCGTCGTCGAAAATGTGTCACCTTGACACAAACGTCGAAGCCTACTATAGCGCAGCCTTAGGGCTGCGAACACCCGGGTTTGTTCACAGCCCGTCAAGGTTGCATTTTATACCCCTCAGTCAAATTTCGTTGTTTAATTGCCCGTTTGAGGCCAAATAGTAGTTGGAAGGGTGGTGAATTTGTTGGGGGGGCAATTCACAGGGAACAAGCAGTTGTTGCTTACGGAGGACGGGTAGTTGCCTATAGGAGGCCGAGAAGGCCGCGATCCTTAAGTTGAATTGTCTACCGCTGTTGGCACAAATACCTTCATTGTCTATCACGTGGGTGCGGAGAATGCAACCCTAAGGTAGCCAAAGCAATAAGACTAAGCGCGCGCACGAGAGAGAGAGAGAGAGAGAGAGAGAGAGAGAGAGAGAGAGAGAGAGAGAGAGAGAGAGAGAGAGAGAGAGAGAGAGAGAGAG